TGAAGATGATTATGTAAGGTTTCTTGATGCTGGATATAAAAATGGGAGAAGAATCAGTATCTACATTGATCACGACCATGAGCCACTTATGCAATGGATTGAAGAAGAGATAGCCGAAGATGGAGTGTACGGTGATAGTGATCCATCTTCTGATGATGTGGACTCGGTGATGTCAGATGATATATCGGTAGACCATGAAGTTGATGATGAGGTTATAGAAATTCCTAAATCTGTTGATCCGTTTTTATCCAAGAAAAATCTTATTCCAGAAGGAGGGGTAGATGATGAAGTTGATGATGAGGTCCACCACTTTCCTATTCATGATCCCGACCAGAAGTGGGACACAATGGTACCTGTATTAGGCATGAGATTCTCTGACAGATATGAACTCAAGCAAATGTTAACAAATTATGCTGTCTTTAAAGGGTATGCATTGTGGTACGAAAAAAATGACTCAACTAGATTGTTAGTGAGGTGTTGTAAAAATAAAGAAGGGAAGGCAGCTTGCCCTTTTAGACTATGGGCTACTCCAATGAGTAGTGAAGATTCATTCCAGATCAAATCGCTAATTGACAAACATAACTGTTGCAGGCAAGTTAATTTGGGGTTTATTGTGACATACATGTGGATTGGTAAAATGTTAACGAATGACATTTTGGAAAAGCCCCGCATAAGCTACAGGAACATGGTTGCATTAGTTAAGAAAAATTTTGGTTTGCATGTAAGTGTTGGGCAATGTAGAAATGCCAAGAGTTTTGCACTAGATGAAATTTCAGGTAGCTTGGTGGGACACTATGAAAAGTTGTGGGATTATGGAGCGGAGTTATTGAGGTCTAATCCAGGTTCAACAGTCTCAATAGAAGTGAATCCTATGCCTGATTCTACAGCTTACTTTAAAAGAATGTATGTCTGCCTTAAGGGTGTGAAAGATGGTTGGATTGAAGGATGCAGGAGGGTGATTGGTGTTGATGGATGTTTTTGAAGGGTATTTGTAGAGGTGAGCTATTAGCAGCTGTTGGTAGGGACTCCAACAACCAAATGTACCCGTTGGCATGGGCTGTAGTGTCAGTAGAAAACAAGGAAACTTGGAAATGGTTCTTAGATCTGCTACTTGAGGACATTGGGATGGGAGATGGCAGAGGTCTTACCATTATTTCTGACCAACATAAGGTTTGTTCTTATAAATACATAACTTAGTGCTTTATATGTTTATTTATATGTTATTTTATATTTAATGTTAATATTTTCATCTGGCAGGGTTTGGTAGAAGCTGTTAAAGAAAGAGCACCAGCATGTGAGCATAGGCAATGTGCTAGACACGTCTATGCTAACTTTAAGAAGAAATACACAGGTGTTGAGTTTAGGAAGTTATTCTGGAGAGCTGCAAAGTCCACAACCGAGTCAGCTTTCCGATCTTATATGAGGGAAATCAATGCGACGTCCACACATGCTTATGATCACCTAATGGAAAGAGACCCAAAGACATGGTGCAAGGCATTTTTTAAGCTTGATAGGTGTTGTGATGCTGTGGAAAATGGAATATCAGAATCTTTTAATGCAACAATTGTAGAGGCCAGGAAAAAACCTATTATATCAATGTTGGAAGAAGTCAGAGTGTACGTGATGGAGAGGATGTACAAACAAAAAGGGAAGGGGAAAAATGGAACTTGGATATATGTCCTTCCATTAGAAGGAGGATTGAGACATTTAAAGAACAACAGAGGTATAATACTTACTTGGAATGCAACTTTTTTTTATTTGAAATTACTTACTTTATACCATTTAATCATAGGTATTGGGATGTTACTCCAAGTGGTCCGCATATATATGAAGTGAGACAATTACATGAGGTTTATGCAGTTGACTTGGACCAAAGAACCTGTGGGTGCAGAGCATGGCAGTTGACTGGTATACCATGTGTACATGGTATTGCTGCAATCTTGTTTTTGAATGGGAATGCAGAGGAGTATGTTGCTGTTTGGTTCACAACGAATATGTTTGGAAGTTGCTATAGATATAACGTGAAACCAACTAATGGAGCTGACATGTGGTCGGAAACAGGTCTTCAAAGCATCTTGCCACCAAGGCGTAGGAGAATGCCCGGGAGACCAAAAGTGAACAGAAAGAAATGTCGTACAGAAAAAGAAGGAAAACATACTGTTAGCAAGAAGGGGGGCATTCCAAAATGTGGTAATTGTCATCAAGAAGGTCACAACAGGAGACGATGTCCATTGCTGAAACAAGGTTTGATTCCTAATTACAATCTTTCTTTATTAAGATTTTGACACTAATAATTTTTTTGCTTTACAGATGAACAACTACCTGAGGAGGTTGGGTCTGAAGAAGTAGTGGTTGCTGAGGAGGTTAGGGCTGAAGAAGAAGTCGCTGCCGAGGAGGTTGGGGTTGAAGAACAAGTGGCTGCTGAGGAGGTTGGGGTTGAAGAAGAAGTGGTTGTTGAGGAAGTTGTTGAACAAATGGTGGCTGATGAGCAACCAAATGAGGAGCAAGCAGCTGAACATGTAGTTGCTCAACATGTACAAGTTGTTGCTAAAAAGTGTAATAGGAGAAAGGGTGGTCCTTCTCAGAGGATCACAAAGCTTAAGTTGATGAGAAAGGTGGTTACAAAAGATGGAAGTGGGTCAAGTATTGATAATTCAGTCACCTTAATCTAGGATATTAGCTTTTGTTTAAATTATGCCAAAAACTATGAAATGGCACATCTTTTGGTGCTTAGTGCACACTAAAAACAATTAAGTATTGTAAGGGCTCCTCTTTTGGTGCCTTGTGCACACTTACCAACATTTAGTGCCGGATGCACATGTTTTGAATGAATATCACTTACTGTTTATGCCCTTTAAATTGTTTGTACATCTACTGTTTTATCACTTACTGTCCATATATTGTTGTTTGTTGCTTTGAAAAATTGTGATTTTAATAGTTATTTACCAATCCTTTGTTTGGGCATAATGTGACCAATACTTTGTTTGAGCATGAGGTGGGCAAGAAATAATAACGTACAAATTGAAAGTGTGATGCTATTTCAGAAATGGTGTTTTGGTCATTTACTTCACTACATCAATACTTACTGTCCATATATTGTTGTTTGTTGCTTTGAAAAATTGTGATTTTAATAGTTATTTACCAATCCTTTGTTTGGGCATAATGTGACCAATACTTTGTTTGAGCATGAGGTGGGCAAGAAATAATAACGTACAAATTGAAAGTGTGATGCTATTTCAGAAATGGTGTTTTGTCATTTACTTCACTACATCAATACTAATATTTGGCCATTGAACCATATATTTTTTTGACAACTGCTTTATCATTTTCTGTAATTAGGTTTTGTGTTACCAAAATCACGCCCAAATTTTCGAATTTGTCCATAAGAAGATGGAAGCTTCACTAGTTTCGCCAAAAATGCAACAAGAATGACCAAAATACCCCTGTTTTTAGTTTCGCCAAAAATGCAACAAGAATGACCAAACTACCCCTGTTTTTAGTTTCGCCAAAAATGCAACAACAATGACCAAACTACCCCTGTTTTTAGTTTCCCCAAAAAAGGAACAACAATGACCAAAATACCCTGTTTTTAGTTTCGCCAAAAATGCAACAAGAATGACCAAACTACCCCTGTTTTTAGTTTCGCCAAAAATGGAACAAGAATGATCAAAATACCCCTGTTTTTAGTTTCGCCAAAAATGCAACAAGAATGACCAAACTACCCTGTTTTTAGTTTCGCCAAAAATGCAACAAGAATGACCAAACTACTCATGTTTCTAAATTAATGACCAAGATGCCTATGTTTCGAAATTAATGACCAAAATACCCCTGTTATAGCAGCCATGTGTGAGGGTTTGCATGCGGTTCTATATCATTGAATAAAAGTTCATTGCTATTTCTCCTCCATTATAATGGCTTGATGACAGTTATACCATCCATACAAACAACCATTATATACTAAAAGGACAATGATATTTCTTCTAAACATTGTTAAAAGCAAAGTCAAACTACAAAAAGTACATTGATATTTCTTCTAACATTGTTAAAAGGGAAATCAAAATGAAACTACAACTTACCATACATACTAAAAGAAGTACATTGCAATGATTTAAATATATATACTACATCATTAATTTCATTAAAAACACAACAAAAATCATGATTATGAACCACTTCTGAAATCGTAATTTCCTACTCATTTGTGTCAATTCCTTACTTAAAATAATATATTCCTTCTTTGCTATCCCTTTGTGCTCATTCAAATCTTTTTCCAAAATTGATATCCTCACTTCAATGGAATCTACTTTTATTTCTGTTTCATCTCTCTTATTCGTGTTTCTTACTTCTTCATCGTCATCAACCCATTTCCAAAGAGAACAATTTGGTGTGTTTGGATCCTTCATATGCAGAAAAAAAAAATTACCATCTGAAGAGGGAAAACGACATTAACTAAGGAAGTATGTATACAAAAGGTATGATAACTTACCAGTCGGTTGGGACAAACCCTAAATTTTTTCCCAGGATTCTTTTTAGTGGTTGAAGTCCAAATTTGCGATGGGAACCCACAACCACAAGGGTATGAATCATCAACCATCTTCTTTGTCTTTGAAACGTTAGAGCTTGAGGATGAGATTATGGATTTGGCAGAACAAGATGAAGCCATTAAGATGCTGATGAAGGAGACGATGCAGGAGAGAAACCAGTAGTGCTCGTCCCAAATTATGCAAAAGCCCTAATTCGTTTTCAATAAAAACTTATATGCCATGTCATTAATTTTAAGCCACATCAACAATTTTTTAATCCTTAACCTACAACAACCGGTTACCATAGGTAACATTTGAACAAACCATATATTTTATTGGTATTTTTTATACAATATTGTTATTCAGATGGTATTTTTTGAACAATGAAAACTTGAATGGTTTGTTTTGAACATTTGTAAAACTTTCTTACCCTTATAAGTCATTTTCCCTATTTTATAAGGGATCATTCTTCTAAAAGTAAAATAAAAATTATTAAAAAAAAACCGTCAGTTAACAAATTTACATAGATCTGTATCAAAAAGAAAAATTGCACTCTTCCCTACATTTCAATATTTTCACCATTTTCCCTCCATTCGCCATCTTTGAAGGTATTGTCGGGAACCCTAGGTTGATCGCTTCCAAAATGACTGAAATTTCTAGAAAGCTTGATGTCGAGAAACTAATTTCATATAGCGATGACCTGGTTCAGTTCTTGAAGAACGAAAGAGACATCAATGACTTGAAGCATTCAGTCGAAAAATCCGACACACTCCGCCATCGATGCCGTTCAGATTATGCCGCAGTTCAAAGCTCTCTAGAAGGTAATACGTCCTTTTTCACTATATGTCCCTTAGTTTGTGTAATATAGAAGAAAAGTTACTCTCCTGTTACAAAAGAGATCCATATCAAACGGTTTACTTTTCAAATCTGTAATCTATCGATTCGAAATCTTCGTTGAGAAATTGATATGCTAAGTTGCGTTTGGTATCAACATGAAATGTTTTGTTGATGAAGTTGTAGTAAAACCCTTTCAATTCTGTGAATTTCGAAGTCCATGGACGAAAATGGATTGAAATCCTATGTTTCCTGCTTTCTGTAAGCAATTACCCCTATTCGGAAATCAAGAAGTTAATTTCAAAGTATCAAAATCTCTCATTTTTCATGCATTAATTATTAGTTAATCACATCTACTCTTTACACCTCGGGTCAATTATTCCAAGTTTTAGGAGTCTGTGGAGTACAAAGTTTCAGTCGATGTTTGGATATGTGTTTTCAAAGTAGTCACCGAGACTTAAAGATATAGAGTCAACAATCACATAACATAACTAGTTCACCAAAGCTTTGGATAGTTTGGTAATTTACATTTAGTCACACATCCTAAACATAATTATTCGTTTCTTTGAAGATTTTTAGGATTAAAATCATATATATGCTCTAAATGTGGGGTGAAATTGACAGTGGTTTGCTTGGTTTAGGCTTTAGAGCAAAAGTGTCATGTAACATTTAAAAGCAAAATTAAGTGTCAACAGATTATTCAGTGTTGATTAGGTATTTTAGTTGATATTGACATTTCAAATTGCAATATTGTAATTTCACTTTTCACACAACAGATTATCAAAAAAAGATCGACCTATGCAAGCAAAAAACAGAAGCTGCAAAGGCTGAAGTTGCTTCAGATGCAGAAATACATTTGCTTCAGAAAGAATTGGATGAAGAACTTCAAAGAGAGACATTGCTACAAGAGGAGCTTAGATAAGTATATACTTACTAATGTTTAATTTACTTTACTTTTGTGTTTAAGTGCCATAATCACCAACCTTTGATTACTGATTATCCACCTTTATCATTATTATCAACAACACATCCATCACCAAGGAAATTAAAGATCTTGAAGAACAAAGAAGTTCCATTGAAGACAGAAGGAAGGTTCTGAAGAAACTCAAACAAGATGAATTAAAAGCACAGTAAGGCTCTATATTTTTTTCCCCCATTAAGTGTAACCTGGATAAATGATATTAAAAGTTTATGTTTTTATGTATTTTTTTTTTTTTTTTGCAGGATGAAGCTATCAATGTTTGCATGTGTAACAAGCATCCTCCCTGACTTAAATGATCAGTCCAAGATGATATCTGGACGTATCCTTTTTTGTGTTTACTATTACTTTTATACAATTAGTAGATCATAATTTAGAATTATATATATTCCTTGTGAATTTGCATTTCTTTAATTTGAATAATGACAGATATTGTTGATAAAGAGAAGAAAGTAGTTGAAAAGTTTGAGTTCAATCCCCAGGAGAAGAGTGATTTTGATACTTGTAATACAATCTGGGAGATGATAAAAGATTGAAGCTTTTTCCTCCTCATGTAAACTTAATATGTGATTGTTTTAAATCCATGTTTTGGGTTGAATTTGTGAAGATTTGTATTCTTGGGGGTTCGTTTGTATTTATTTGTTTGCTTCTAGTAAATTCAAAAATGGTTTGGTTTGGTTGTAACTATACTATGGTAGTGATAAGGCTATGGTGTTTTTTCTTTTTTACTTAATGGAAATATATTTTGTATCAAGTAAACTACGTGTCTTTGTTTCCTTTATGCTTAATGTAGAAATAACAGACTTAATTGAGGAAGATATCCATCCATAAAGTCTAGCCAAAATCCTGTCAAATATGTGTAAAATGACCAAAGTACCAACTAATGTTATTGTATCATCAAAGTGTATAATAGCTACAGTGATATTGACCAAAATGACCAAAGTTCCTTTAAAATAGTGAAACTGAAAAGTTAACTATCAATATGTGGAAAAAGAAATTTGAGATTCCATCTTTTCTTTACTATACTCAGTAGAAAATGTAAAAGTTTATGAGGCATTCTTTTACCATTGTCAAAAAAAGCATAAAAAGCATGACACCTCTTAGCTTAATAGTGTTTCACAAACACAATTGGTTATTTATTGCTAACTTTAAACTAGCAGTTTATTTATATACGTGTAAAGGACAGGGTTTATACGTGTGACTACAAGTCCAACTAATGTGTTGGGAACTACCCCTCCATAACCTTTGATGCATTTAAGGGCTAACGGAACACAACCACTTTTACCTGAAGGTTTCTTAAGACCATTTGTGACCCTTTATAAGATCCAGGGTTCCCCGATAAGCATTTTTACTAAATCTAAAAGAAAAAATTGTCACTTTGAACTATCACACAGTGACCAAGAAACACTTTACTTCATTGAAAAGCTATGTGTTTCGTCTGTTTAGCTGTTTCTGATCAACCATGAAAAATTCGTTAAGCATAGACACCAAACTCAATTTTGGCCAACTTGTCGAAAATATAGGTTTCAAAACCATTTTAATAAATCGGGTTTCATCTGATATTTAACCAGTTCTATTTGTTCGAACATTTTAATCCTAAATCGATTTAAATATGAACGATTTTCCACTTTATAACCGGTTTTCAAACCTCTCTACTTTAGTTTAAAAAATTGATCAGCACTCATCTAACTGTATTGATATAGAATGCCAAAAACCGAAAACCAACAAAAATCAATAAAACCAAAACCGAGAAATTGAACCCTAACCGTCGGTTTTGGGTTTAAAATTTTAGAAATCTAATTTTTCGGTTTGGGTTGGGTTTGCCCTGGCAAAACCGACCCAGCCCAACTATTTTCTTATAAATTTAAAATTCTCAAATATTTTGATATTTATATTTAATTTTTTTTGAATTAACGCGTATAATATATTGGTTTCGTAACTAGTTTCTTTAGTATCTATCTATTAATATAATATGTATGTGTTAAAAAAAATGTATACATTTCATTTATCTTATACTATTTTTTATTTATTTATAGTTAACAAACATAAATTATTTCGCATTTAGCCCATTTGATGATTGAACAATCGAGAAAGATAGAGGAGCAGAGTGCTTTAGCTGCTTGAGATAGATCGAGAGAAATGGCGACAGAAGGAGCTTCGGAGCAATCACTATGGCAAGGATTCAAAGATTTCTGGAGCGAGAGATTTAGGATCTTGGATGGTTATCACCCTTACATCCGCCGCCAAAACCCTCTTCCGTCATGGTCCTCCTCCGATGTCGAAGAATTTATCGCTTCCGATCCCGTCCACGGTCCCGTCGTATGATCAATCTTCCCTATTTACATGCCTTTTCATCGATTTATTTATCCCTTCTATGTGTATTGATTGATCTGATTATGCGTTGTTTCGTAGTCATTGATTAGGTTAAATATACTGCTTCTTTGCTATTCATGATTTGATTATTGATTTTTGATTCGCATGTGTAGAAAGCAATATTGGATTTATATGAATCCTTAGCTAGGCATTTGATTCGTTAGGGTTCTTCTTCTGGTCTGTAGGTTTGAGACTTCCGCCTGTTGTGCATTGTAAGTTTTTTTTTTTTTTTTTTTTTTTTTTTTTTTTTTTTTTCATTTGCTTTGATTTCTTTCAGTATGATGAATGGGTTATAGGGTGATATGTGAACTGAAGGCTGCAATCTTGTATTTTATTAGCGAATAGCGATTACAGATTACTTAGTGGATTGACTACTGAAACAGTTTGTTTCTTTTGAAGTTTAGAGTTTCAATTTTACTGATATATCATTGATTTTTGTGCACCTAAGGTCATTGCATGTTGTATTTTCAATTATGAAAGTTTGTTTATTCAACAAGGTATCAAATTTTCTCCCAATTTATGCAACAAATTCTAGAAGTAAAATGCACTACAGATACAAATTAACAATAACCTGTTTACAGCTTAAGACAACCCGTGATGCTGTGAAATTTCTTGCTGTTGGAGGCATACTTGGAGCTGTGTCAACTGGTGGATTTGCATGGAAATATTCAAAAAGTCCCCATGGTAAGTCTAAATGACCGTTTTACCCTTGCATTCCAAAAAAACAAATTTCACAACATTCATCAGTTTTAACATGAGAGGAAAAGAAAAAAAAGACTATTGTACCCTTACATTGCCAAATGACCATTTTACCCTTGCACTTTGCAGGTGCAGCGTTGTCATTGGCAGCAGGAGCAGTGTTTGGGATGAGTTTTGGGCAAGAAATTGCAAATCACTCTCTTCAGTTATACAGGTTGGACACCATGGCTGCCCAGGTCAAGTTCATGGAATGGTGGGAGAAGAAGGCGGGAGGACGTTTTTAAAACTTTGTGTTGTTGAGAAACTTGAAGCATGTCTGAAATAAATATTTTAGGTAGTTTCCATGTTTTGAAACCCTAAATGTTGTTCTTTGTTGGTGGGTTGTTTTAGTGATTATATTTGAATTAGGTTTTCGGAAGGAAGCTGTATGACTTTTTAAATAAACTTCTTGATTGATGGACAATCTGTCAATATAATTGCAACTCTGATGGGAGGTTTTTTGAGAGTTCAATGATATGGAGTATTGGAATTTATCTCATATATAAAGTGTTGTTTACCAATGGAATTAGAAGGTTTTTTTTGGTCAATATTTATTGAGGGTATTTTACTCTATATATGTCTAAAGAGACTCCGACGACGGCTGTAAGAACCCAGAGAAGGGACCATAAACTATCTTGAGGTGTATATAGCTTGTTCGGCAAAACTAGCTGGTAGTGGATAGCTGGTAACGTTTGTTAAAAGTTACATGAAGTAGAATTTGGATTTGGAGTATTCTGTTTAAACTAAACATTTTCACCGTTTAGGTTTTGGGGTGTGACAAAATGATATTAGTAAGATGATAATAATGCCTTAAATTAATTAATTTTGATCTAACACTTCTTTAGTACTGCTCGTATTTAATGGAAACCAAGTAATAAAACCCCCCTCTTTGGGGTTTCTTTTAGCACTTAATGAAATTAATTTGGAAGATAAGAGTGTCAAACTTTTAAAAAAACCACATGCTCTTATCTATGTCAAAAAATCAAAATTTAAACTAAAAATACAGGTTGAACAAACCACAGGGACCAAAACTGTAACTTACTCTTTTTTATTAAAATAAGCGGGATGCATGAGTCGGCTGACGGAGTCAATGCGTTTCCACTCTAGTAACGTTCCACGCCTCCTTTTAATTATTATAATAATAATAAAAATAATATTTATTTGCTTAAACCTCGGCCACTTACGCGTCGCCACGTCGGACCACTTCATCCACGTCCCACTTCAATCTCTCTTCTGTTTCTACTTTCTACTTAAACGTCGTCGTTGTGCCCCTCTGTTTTACTGTCTGCCTTCCGCCCGAAGAAACTTTATTTATATTTTATATATTTCACCTAAAGTAAATAAAATACTACATTAAATATTAAAAATATATCAAAATAAAACTTAATTTTTATCTGGTTTAAAATTTCGAAATCATTAAAGTAGTCCCAAATGTGTTTTTCTGCTATAAAGTGATTTTGTAAGTAATAAAAACGTATCTTTTAATTTGATAATTTATTTGGCAATTCATTCTATTTTCAAAATTAAATTTAATAAATAACTACTTTAAACAATTAACATAAGCTTCGTATCATACTATCAATAGACTTTGTGTTTACTTTTATATGCAAATCTTTTAAATATTTAATTAGTTTATTAACATTTAAATATCTATCTATTTTTCTTGTATGATATGAAAAATATATTGCATTAGGTATAATCAAAAACTTTATTTTATTTATTCGTGATAAGATATAATCATATAATATAGAGGAATTAAAATTATCGTCTATAGAATAACTAACATTTTTTTCCTACAATTACATAACTTTATAAAATATATAAATTATTTTAAATAAGGATTAAGTATAAATTTACAAAATGGCTACATCAAAAGCTTCTTCTGCTATATGAATCGATAAAAAAAAGAAATTTTTATGAATATACTGTTCTTAAAAAACTATTTTAGTCTACAGAATAAAACAATATATAAAATTATCTGCATAAATAATGCATTTTCTCTCTATCAATGGTTGTTGTGTGTTTTAAAGAGGGAAAGAGTAACAGAACAAGAAGCAAATTCATCCCCTGAAACATCATTCTTCAGCAGCTAAAAAGAGAGAAAGAAAGCATTCTAATTTATTATATCTCTTTGATCAGATCCATCATCTATCTCTCTCAATCAAAAGATTGTCTTTTTCCACATTATCGTACTTCATCTGCTCCAACACGTTGTTTCCAGCAGCAAAAAACCCCACTCATACCCCGTAACTTAAACTTCAATACGCAACTTACCACGTGCATTTTACAAGTTTCATGTTTTCTCTTTCAGAGTTTATAAACTTTTCATGTTCTTGATTCCCCCCTTTTCGAATTTCGCTGCAGTTGCGGAGGCTGGATGTGATTTCTAAAGAAGAGAACCCTAAAAGGAAGCAAGAATGTTTACCCAAGGGTTAGACAACAATGCTGTTAGATGGGTAAAAGAGGTTAGTTTTTCATATCCCCAAAATCGCAATTGTCGAAATTAGTAGATTACATATTGATTTTTCATCTGTGTTTTGTATGATTCACTTGCATTGTTCTATATTCGTTAGTTTAATTTCTGTACAGTTGAAATTAAGCTTCTTTACTCGATCTGCATCCAGCATTCTTGTTTTCAGTGATTTTAGATTACAATTATACGTTTTTTGTTTATTAATCTGAATGGAGTTACTGGATTTGCTTACGTACTGTTATCTTTTGATTACTGGTTATATATACATCTCGAACATTTCAACCTCATCTCGCAATCCATCAGTAGAATCACTTATGCTTGTCCACTCTGAATTATGTATCTTGAGCAAGAAAAACCCTAATTTTTTACTATGAATAATCACTCAGACTTGTTTATTCTTCACTATTGGTATTGGGCTTTTTCATGACAATTATGATTTCTTATGTTTGAATTACAAAATCCAGGGGTCAAATAATATCAAGAAGGAAGTTCCTTACTTTATGTCAAATCAACAACCTCAAATCAACCCCATTTCCTCACGAAACATGGGCAGAGGGTTCGGGCTGCCCCCAGCTTCAAAATTCAGAAGCGGGCATCTGCCCGGGATTGTTCCAATATCTCAAGTCCTGCCCGGGGAAGATACAGATTCAGCTTCTGAAAATGACATGTCAACGGATTCAGAAGGTGAGGTGTATGGTGGACGATACTCACTAGATTCCTCTCACCCGGATGACATAGTTCCTCCTAGTAGTAGGTACCATGATCCTCTACAGATGCGCCCACAGTATCATGTGTACTCTAGTGATGTGAGTTCTTGTGTTGAAACAATGGGAAGTAGAGGAAAAGAGAACGTGGTTGATAGATTTAAAGGAATTGAGAAAAACCAATGCCATGTTAGAAATAGTGTTTATACTGAAGATGAATCGGATGATGATGATGATTCAAGAGGTAGCTCAGAGTTGTCAACTACACAAGTCAAAAAAGATGTTTATCCTTCTCATGTGTCACGAGCCAATGAAAATGTTACCTCAAGAAATGTACAATTCTACTTTCACTTTCATTTTAGTTTTAGATAAATTTTAATGAAATTGTCAAGTACACAAGAGGTGTATTTATGAAAATTTTAATGACACAAATCTTTTTTAAGGATTTATTTTTATCGTATACCCATTCTAATGCTGTAAGGGATAAAAACATATTGCAGGATTTGGGTGCTCAAAACATTCAGGATCACAAGGCATTTGATGAAGACATTCCTAGTGCACCTCCATTTGTGGGCCCAGTTGAAGAAATCAAACAAGAAGAATTCCAACATTCTAAAACGAATCATATGCCATTAAGAGACGAGGTTTCAAAACAATCTAATAGGTTTGTTTATACTTTATATACGCTTCGGTTATTTTCCCCCATAAAAAGATAGGTAATTACTAGTTGCGCTTAATTTATGTATTGTAATATAAGATATGTTTATTCTTTGTAGCAATAATGTTTGTGGTGAAGGTGGTGCATCTTCAGGATCAATTCCTGCTCGACTTCCCACATTTCATGCAAGGTACATTTCATATTTAAAGATTAAAAGTTGTAAGCTTTAATGGTTTATCATATACCCTTTGAGCTTATTTATTTATTTTAAATTTTTTTTGAATCAGCTCACTTGGGCCTTGGCATTCTGTGGTTGCGTATGATGCATGTGTTCGGCTTTGCCTACATGCATGGGCCAAGGGTTGCTCAGAGGCAGTCATGTTTTTGGAAAATGAATGTGCTTTATTAAGAAGCACATTTGGGTGAGTTTTATTCTTTTAGATCATATTATTATTATCTTTTTATATTATATGTATAGTTTTAACTTTTAACTTTACTTTATATGTTAGTTAGTTATTGCTAATAAAATTTGTATCTACAGAATAAAAAAAGCAAACTTAATAAAGGCTCATTAAAAGCTAAATAAGATTATAATAACAATATATTTTTTTCTAGCTATTCTTTGAAATAGAATTGTAATTTTGATCAAATCATGAAATTTTTAAAAGAAGAAATTATATGAATAAAAATGGGTTGTATTGCGTTCATTCCATTCCAGGATGGACTTTAAAAAATGAAAATGAACAAAACAGATAGTTATTTTTTCTTCATTCACTAACTATTCCATTCTTTCTTGATTCCATCATACGAAACATCACCTTCATTTTTATATAATTTTGAGAAATTCAGATCTTTTTTAACTTTTAAAAACAATATAGTCATCTTTTTTTCTACCTTTTGGTTGATTTTGTATAGTTTGCAACAAACATTATTACAATCAGAGGAAGAACTGCATCTAAAACACTCTTCAGAATCAGAAGTTGCTAGCAAAGGAGCTGCAACAAAACCAAAGAAAATGGTTGGGAAGATGAAGGTGCAAGGTATTGACTTTTAGTCAACACAACACATGTACTGTATTTTAGCATGCATTGCACTAGGACTAATCACTAATGTCAATATGACAAAAAAAAAAAATCGTCTATGCAAAAAGACACAAATGCCCTCCTCATCCACTTCATTGACGAGACAAACTTATAAGTTAAATAACAATTTGTTTACGGGTGCAGTTCGAAAAGTGAGAATGGCCTTGGATCCACAAACAGGATGCAACTTTTCATCAATAAAACCACCAAAAATCAAATTAGAAACTGTT